ACAAAAAAAAAAAACGATTAAATATATTCTGCTTTACAATTTTTTTTGTTCATTCATTATTTTCACCTTTTGCGAAATAAAAGAAAATACTTTCATAAATATACATACACTGCGGGATTTTAATTTGTTTTTTTTAAGAGGGAATTTCGCAAAATTCCTGTTCGGGGAGATAACTCCCGTTTGTTTACGATACTAGTTGATCGATGATTTAACCGCGGCGGGGACAGGTAGGTGATGAATTTCCCGCGGAGGGAACGCGGTTTACCTGTCTCACCTGGCCAAATCCCGCGTTGTGTTTATACCGCGACGGGGCGCGGGAAATACGGGATCCGCGTTGCCTGTACTGTACATGTATAGTCAATCAGATTAGAAATACAGCGACTATCAGAATTTCGGGTCTGATCTGATTTTGATTAGATTTCAGGTGTAGGCGAATGTGTGTGTACTGAGGGGTTAGTTAATTCATTCAAGATTTATTATATTGAATGTTCGTTTGGACGAAGGCTTCATGAAAATATACACACTGCTTGTACAGGTACACATCAATGAATGTTCAGATTAATTCAAAAATCGGCAGACATTAATTTAATTTAGTTATCTAAAGGCAATGTTATTTCCAGAGACATTTATATTTTCTGTTTTCTGTTTTTTGTCTCGAATTTTTCTTTTTTGTGATTTACCGGTTTACAAAGGCCTGTGTTTTAACAGCTGTTCATAAACGCTGTCAATTAATATATGATCAGAGAAAACGAGACATCTCCCGGTAATTCATTTCTTATGGAAAATATATGGATTGACATCTTAGTATTTACCTGTGTAATTACGATGTTACAAACCGATGACTGGCCAGGAGGACTACCCGTTATGAAAACAACTCATGATCAACTCAGCGGACCTATAATTGACTTTAATATATGCTGTAAATCAATAAAATCATTCCAGTTTAACCGATATTTTATTGCAAAGATAATGGGAAAAAAAGACTTGGGATTTAGAATTTTTCTGAATTTCAAACGCTTGATATGCATATATTTGGGGCGCTCTTGCATATGCACTTATAAAACGTGCATGTTCTGTACTTGCATGCGTGTACATGCGTGTCAGAAAAAATAATGGGAACCTATAAATAATTACATGTTTATCATTTTGTTCGCATACAATAACAAGTTAAGTAGAAAAAAATAATTTGTTCAAGGTTAGGTGTCTAATAAATTTGTAATATTCAAATACAGTTACGCATGTATGTCTCATTCTACATATTTTGGAGGCGCGTGTGAATGTGGGATTTTGTATTTCCATACGCTCGATATGCATATATTTGGGGCGCTTTGTATATATACTGTTGTACATTTTAAGGGCGTCGACAAAAGAACGTATATTAGATTACATACATGTACATTTAAGTTTCAAAAGTTCCATTACTAGTAGGAATTAATTAAGGTTACATATTTTGAATTTTATTATGAATAAAACAGACAATTAACTCGATATCGAGAAATAAATTGTTTATAAAAATAACTATGCAACTTTCCTGTAATTCAGCGAATAAAATATTAAATAAAATACCCTAGCGATTTAATCAAAGATATTATGAAATAATCTGAAAAATTTAACATATTTATCCACTCATGACTTAGTTTACAAAATGAATTTGGAATGGCCATTCTATGATTTATTTTGCGTATGACTAGGTCGCTGGATCACACACGCCGATTGATCCCCGGTGACCTCCTTTGCCACGCGCTATCGAGGGAGGTGTTACATAATTGTAAACACACAAGGTGAATGTAAAAGGCGCACACTTAATGGCTGTAAATAGTCTATGCTTCAAAGTTATGTTTTATTTTCTCAGTATATTATTAATTGTTTGTTTCTATATGATAAGAAGAAAAGGTTATCTTTTTTCCCCTTTTTTAGTAGACTGGTTTATTCGACTTTGAAAAAAATGAAATTAAACGAAAAGTTGTCAAAAAATAACTTGGAAATAAAGCACAAAACACTTCAAGAACCTTATTCTAAAGAATATTAGCATCTAATGTAGCCAGATTTATTATTTATAGTAAGTTTATTTTAGTTACACGCATGAAGAGCTCTCGTTTACTTGCTGAATGAAAACAGTTACCTGTATATGGGTCAAGCTTCTGGCGCATTTAAAACACAAGACTCGAACAAAATAACGTTTTTATGAAATCAATAAGATGTTAAAGAACAACTTTTTTAACGACAGCCATTTCGAAATATTTACCGTTTTTGAGTTATAAAGCAAAAACTTTAAAGGGCTCCAGATCCCTAATTTGAGGGGCCAGCCCCTTTTTAGTGGTGTCAAATGAAAGGCCTTGAAATTGTGCACAACTTTTATTCTACATGTTTTATCAAAATATGTTTAGTTTTAAAGATACAAAGGAAAATATGTCTAAATTTTCGCTCTCTTAGGCGTTCTAAATTTTGACCCCTAATTAGCGCCATTTTGAATACAGAAATCGAAAAACAAAAAACGATGTGCACAACTTCAATCCTTCTATTATCTAAATTCGGTAGAATTTCTCCTCCAGCTTTTGTAGTCTCGGAGCCTTTGTCTGGAAATGAAGCTTAATAAATTTTCATTTAAAGGGCAATAACTCAAAGGCAGAAGTGACGTTTTGAAATGTTTGACAGCATTCTGATAGAGTTTTGTAACGTCTATAAACTCTGCAAATTTGAGCAAAATCCATTGAGAAATGAGCGAGATATGAGGTCTCAAAGTTGGCGTCTAGGAAAAAGAAGAAAAAAAAAAAAGAATAATAATCTTAACCATCAGAATCAGTAGAAGGTCTTCCGTTGGAACGGAAGACCTTAATAATCTTAACCATCAGAATCAGTAGAAGGTCTTCCGCCTGGAGCGGTAGACCTTAAATAGAAGTCTGTTATTTTCTATCACATTGGACAAGTTTTAAAAATAACTAAATTTCATGTTTATTTTTTAACACATTTTTCACCATAGATGAATAATAACAAAAAGTGATAACCATGAGTAATAAGTATCACAGATTACAGAAAAGACAGGGAATTATGAAGTTTTAGTTCCCTGTCACGTGACGTACTGTCTAGAATCAATCAGATAACTTATTTTAGCATATTATAATGAGGTTTAAAGTGATCCATTCCCGTCCTACGAAATAGAATTTTCGAATTGGACATTTTCTATTTCTTTCTTTCACTTCAATATGTTACAAGTGAATCCCTCAAAACTGCACTGTTCTAGCTTTTCTTTCTCTTTTTTTCTTTTTCTTTCTCAATTGCGAGCTTAAATGAAACAACATTACCCAGTCACTGTTTAACAAAACCAAGTCACTGTTTAACAAAACCCAGTCACTGAACAACATAACCCAGTCACTGTAAAACAAAACCCAGTCACTGTACAACAAAACCCAGTCACTCGGAAACCTAACCCAGTCACAGTTCAACATAACCCAGTCTCTCAACAGCATAACCCAGTCACTGAAAAATATAACCCAGTTACTGAGAACCAAATCCCAGTCCCTGAATAACATAACCCAGTCACTGAAAATCATTACCCAGTCACCGAGCAACATAACCCAGTCTCTCAACAACATAACCCAGAGAGAAACATAACCCAGTCACTATACAACATAACCCTGTCACTGAGAGACATAACTTAGTTTCTGAACAACATTTACCCAGTCACAGAGAAACATAATCCAGTCACTCAACAACAAAGCCTAGTCACAGAGATATATAACCCAGTCACTGAAAAATATTACCCAGTCACTGAACAACATAACTCAGTCTCCAAGCAACATAAACCAGTCCCTGTGCAACATAACCTAGTCACAGGGGAACATAACCCAGTCACTGAGAAACATAACCCAGTTACTGTACAACAAAACCCATCATTGGGAAACATAACCCAGTCACAGTTCAACATAACCTAGTCACAGAGAAACATAACCTAGTCACGGAACAACAAAACCCAGTCACTGTTCAACATAACCCAGTCACTGTTCAACATAACCCAGTCACTGAGGAACATAACCCAGTCACTGAGCAACATAACACAGTCACTGTTTAACATAACCCAGTCAATATACAACATAACCCAGTCACTGAGGAACATAACCCAGTCACTGAGGAACATAACCCAGTCACTGTTTAACATAACCCAGTCACTGAGGAACATAACCCAGTCACTGAGGAACATAACCTAGTCACTGAGGAACATAACACAGTCACTGAACAACATAACCCAGTCACTGAGAAACATAACCCAAGCATTGAATATGAATTATATGCATAATTTGGTCTCCATATATAAGGCATATATACAAAAGTGGTAAGGAAAATAATTTATTTGACACAATCATTATTTGGAACATAAACTTATGTTAAGCCTTTTTCTAGAGCTCTGCTCCCAATTTTTATACAAATTGGGTTTAGTCACTGAGGAACTTAAAGATAAAAATAACGTAGATCAATTAATCCTAGGGGAAAAATGGCCACACAATATTAAGACCATACAAATGTATTACAGGTACTATTTAAGAAATAATGCATGGCTGCACAAGTGTTCCTTTTAAATTACACCCAAATCCAATGGTATGAATTCTGCATGTGAAATTTATTTCACTTGTCAGAAAAACAAAACTTTAATAGATTATTTTCAAAGTCAAATTACATCAAATTTTATCAAATTCTTCCTACATTTAAACTAATGTTTCTAGTAGGAATTAATGATAAAACAGCTTGGTCTGGTGTGGATTTGATTTGAATGAAATCACAATTATTAGAGTTTATGAGTTCATCTAGAGTAACCAACTACAATTGATCAGCCCTGACAGAGTCCATTTTACATTATAACAATATTTCATCAGATGGTGATATATAATAACTGTAAAGAATCTGCAAACAAATATTGTTCAACATGTCATATAGCAATTGATGTAGAACATCTTTTGCAATGCTTTCACAATCAAAATATTTCAATATATATCAAATTTGCAAACTCAATCAACCGGAACATAAATTTGTTATTTCAATGGATAGAGAAGTTCTTCAGCTTCTCTATATGTTATGTTCTTGACAACAGAAGCGATAATGATTCTTGCTTCTACAAGCAATACATCCTTAAAGTATCCAACTCCTTCATTCAATCTCTGTCCTGTCCTAAAAGAGAATGAAAATAATTAAGAATAAAGTTGTCTATGGAGATGAATCAAATCAAGAAAAAATCAGACGTGAATTATGATTAAATTATGGATATGAAGAGACATATGGTTTACTTTAAAAGTTAACAATTTAGTTACAAAAATAACCCCTGACTGACATTACACAATATGCCTCTCCATTTTCTTCAACAAGGATGAATAAAAAAATATCATACTCATCTTCCAGTGTTGCCATAAGCTTTCCATTATTGCAGTTTTTCAAACTAAGGTAATATCCTGGAGGACTGAAGAGACCACTAAAATCAACAAATTTTTTTATTAAAAAAGTACAATGAAGAATGCTGAACATGACTTAGTCGTCTTTAATTTGTTGAAAAGGGGGAGTGGAATTAGCTTGGTGCCAAATGTGTGCTTCTTTTATTTGATATTTACAAGCAAAACAAAATTTTCACAACTTTTGGTATCTGCCCTATATAATCTTTATAAGAAGAATATTATGTGTGAATGAAATTTTCCCCTACAAACAGTCTCGCTAATATGCAAAAATAAAGTTATCACCAAAAAAAAAATTTTTACAGTACATACAATATTCTTTAATGGGTACATTATGTCTATCTCTTGAAATCAATCCTTAGTAAGCAGATGTACTGATGATGTATGTCTAGAAATTTATTTATAAATCTTAGTCGGACTTATATGAAGTCTTGATGACAATTTACTTCACTCCAAGAGTTAAATATTCACAAAGCTCTAAAGGTGACAGGTTAAGATTCATCTTCCGTGGTAAGTTTATATAGCTATATAATATAGAATAGCAAATTAAATTGAGGTATTGAGGTATAAACTTACATGATTGTTTTTGGTTTAAACAAGCCAAATTCTTCTAAAACAAGAGCACTCATTTCAGCCCATCTCTATTGGGAGGGAAAAAATAGGCAAATAAACTTGTTTTCTTCTCTAACACACACACACACACCCTCACCCACACACTCACTCATATATATATACAGTCAAACCTCGTTATCTCCAACTCAATGGGACCGAGAATAAACTTCGAGATATCTGAGGGTTCGAGATATTGGGGGTAAAATACTTAAAATATTAAGTGCTTGGGACTTCCAAATCACACTTCGACATATCCATAAGATTCGAGATATCCGTGTTCGAGATACTGAAGTTCAACTGTATATATGTATATATATATATATATATATATATATATATATATATATATATATATATATATATATATATATATATATATATATATATATATATATATATATATATATATATATATATATATATCATGAGTAGAGAAAGACTTTGTTCAATAAAAAAGAAAACAATCATGTTATAAATCCATAACAACACCTGCACATGAGCAAGAATATGCAGGACTAGCCTTGTAAAATATATTGTATGCTTATACATTAAAATCTACAGAGAGTACATATGGATGTTACCTCTTTATGAAAAAGTTTATTTCTTTCTTCCATTCCTTTCACAGAGTTATTCATCACATTATGGTCGGTCAAGTCATTCCTGTCAATCCATCGCAGATATCTCCAGTGTGGTTCATAACACCTGTAAAAGGAATATTATAACACTCGACCAAGTTAATTTAATTTTAACCAGTTGTTACGGTACATCTTGTAAACCAAAGTGCATGAAACAGTGTTAAACTGTGAAAGACATACCAATTAAAATCTCTTTAATTTCCAATAAATGGAATATCATTTTATTGCCCATAAATTTAATGAAGACAATTTAAAAGTAAATAGGCTGCTTTCAATGTTTATTATTTACCTCTTATCACCCTCTTCTAATTCCAATATTTCCTTCAGCTTTGTTTTGATGTCTTTTGCAAACTGTTAAAATTTTTAAATAATTATAGGCAATTTTTCTCCTGAAAATCTCTCTGCCATAAACAGGTAGTGTTATAGAACTATTACTAATCACTTAGAGCAGGCTATACTATCCCCTTTTTAACTATAATCTTCATTGTTGAGCTTTTATATATATATCATGCTGTTTATATATCTAAACATCAATTCTTAATAAATTTCTCTAACTTGACCTGAAGATTGAGTCAGTTTCAGAAAGTGTTGATATGGATTCAGAAAACTGATCAGAAAGTCAGATCACACCATATGATTGTGTGAAATAAACAGTAAAATTGAGTGATAAATAAGACAGAATTAAATTCTGAACCCAGGGCTGTTAGATAACCATGCATGCAACAGATACTAAAAATTACCATCGTTGCTATATTATAGCCTTGTATGTTTCCTGTTCCCTTGTTTTTGGGAAGATCCATCCTTGGCCATTCGCACAAGATGTTAACCAGTTTCATGGACTGTTCAGTCTATAAACAAAAAATGTTAATTTTTCATGAACAATAGACAAACCTTATTGTTATACTTTTATGTTAAGTCAAATTTGATTGGTTTAAAAACATTTGTTAAAAAGTACTGCTACCCTACGGCATGTGTAAACTATGCCCTCCACGTAACATTACATAGCAACGGTGACATTGCATGACGACAGGTAACAGTGCAAAATTGGGCAGAATGTATGCCCGTACGGTTTACTGTGGGTTCTTTTTTTTTAAATGCTTTATTCTAAATAGATTTGGTATAACAAAGGAAAATATTTAAATTTTTAAGGTTATCCCTTGAAAACCATTACTGCCTGGTGTCCATCATGATATCTTTAAACTATTTACATTATAAAAACTAGAGGCCCATTGACCACAACACTCACCTGAGTAACTTTGGCCCTGCTGTTTTTCACCAGAATTTCCCCAGTGTTATAACTATTGTGGCCACACCCTACCCCCAGGAGTATGATTTTAACAATTTGTAATCTTCACTACTCCAGGATGCTTCCACATAAATTTCAGCATATCTGGCCCAGTGGTTCTTGAAAAGGAGATCTCCAAGGATTTTTTCATATATATTTCAATGTAAAAATTTTATTCCTATTGTGGCCCAACTCTATCCCCGGGGATCATGATTTTAACAATTTAGAATCTACACTACTCCAGCATGATTCCACATGAGTTTAAGCTTTTCTGGCCCAGTGGTTCTTAAGCAGAAGATTTTTTAATGACCCCATCCTATTTTTGCCTTTTCTTGATTATCTCCCCTTGTAAGAGGGTTTGCCCCTTATTTTAACAATTTAATTTCCCCTTCACCAAAGGATGCTTTGTACCAACTTTGGTTAAAATTGGCCCAGTGGTTCTTGAGAAGAAGATGAAAATGTGAAAAATTAACAGACGGACGACGGGTGATCAGAAGAGCTCACTTGAGCTTTCAGCTCAGTTGAGCTAATAATACGTTTTTAGGGTAACATGTGAAATTGTTATCCCTTGAAAACCATTGATGACCTCAGCTTTGCATCAGTCAGCAATGGTTTTCACAGGATATCAATTTAATGTGTTACCCTAAAACATCATAACAATGTTTTATTTTTATAATGTAAATAGTTTAAAAATAGTATGATGGACACCAGAAGAATTTGTTTCATAAGAAATGCTCATAGGAATATTAAATGGGTCAGGTACTTTGAACAAATACATAAAAAAGTTTCTAAGTTCAACTTCTCATGACAACTTTTCTGGAGAGTAAGTTGAGAAGCTTTTAAAATGTTTACAACACCCAAAACACCAACAACACAGACAATGGACAAATTTCAATCACATAAGCTCAACTGAGCCTAGAATGGGGATGGTTACCTTCCTATTACTTGTTCGACCCGCGAGGTTTCAACATAAATCCATGTTCGACACAAGTGGTTTCGTTCTGAAGCAATTAATTAACACTTGCAACAGTTTCACATTTTGTTTTTGTTTACATAGGATTTTTTTTATCGACAATGCATATTTTAATTATTAATTTAAAAGCTATTATGTTATCAATATACAGCTACCCATGTACTTACCTGTGAGCAGGTCAAAACCACTTGATAGGTCGTAACCATGCAGGTCAAACACGGAATCAAAATGTAACCACCCGACACCATGAGTCTATGGTTCAGGTGAGCTTAAAATGGTTACAATAATGAGAAGATTCAAGAAATTATTTTGCTAAAGTTGCATTTAAAAAAAAATATCGCAACAAGACCATACCAACATCCTTTCCAAATTGTTTGGAACTTTTTAAACAACGGAACCTAGAGGAAGTTGCATAATCATACTCCTGTAACAACTTGTCCAATTTTGTGGAAGATGTCACATACCCAGATAGTGATGTTGATCTTACATCGAACAGATCTTTCCAAGTGTCACTATGTATAAGAAAAAATAATAATAATAAAAAAAAAAACTGTTAACACTCGACTAAATTTGGCAAACTCTCTCTTTGAATCCGGTTATTATCAGTGATTATATCTTTACAAAACTTTATCCAGGTGTTGAGAATTTCTTGAATACCGCATATTCACTATATCATAATTATCTTCATACAACATTCCTACCTTGTTTCTTCATCCATTTCATACAGTTGCTGAGATGAAAGGATAACGGCATTCAATACCTCGAACTTTCCTTACTTGGATTTCCCGCCTCAATGTCACGAAAAATACAATGGGTTCGGTGTTAAAGCAAATTGTACATTTGAAAACCATACCGGAAATAATTTTCCTGGAATCCGTGACTGGGTTATGTTATAGACTCTACCCACCAAAAGCGACCGTGATGCAAAAAGGAGGCAAAGTGAGTGAGTTTGTACTGTTGGTCAATATTTCTTAGTAGATAACAGGCGTCACGCTAATAACTAAATAAGATTTATATAATATTTCTTGATAAAGTGGACAAGCCCTGTTCTCCGATGTGTTGAAATCTATATTTGTTATTGTTTGACACAAAAGTTTAAGCATTTTTTTTTTTTTTATAATTTTTACGATCATAGAGTTCGGCAGTTATATTTTGACTAACATAAAATATACGGATGTGACAGTTTGACAGAAAACAATGTCAAACCTTAACTTCAGAAGCACAATGATTCGATTATGTAACAGAGAAATTTTAAGGACATATTTTTTGCTGTTTTGGTTATAAAAACTCATTTATTTTCTTTTCAGATACCATGCTACCAGCTCCTTATTGATTTTCTTGGCTGATTGTCTGTTATGATTTGACCATTGTCAATCTGTGCTGATACCATTTTTTTTCTTATTATGTTATTAAAGATAAAATTTTATCAGTAAACTTCAGTTGTATGTTAACTGGTTGATGAAGAACAAGTAATAAAATTCCTAAATAAAAATTACAAAACTGTAGAGAGTTAAAATGTAACTAACATGAAAAATACCGTAACGGATTTTATAATGTAACATCCATCACAGTGCTTAAAATTCATGAAAATACTTTCAATAGTTTTAATTAGTATTAACAGAATGTTTGGATGGAGGTATTTAACTTCATTGCATGTATGAAATCATGCGTATTCTGAAGAAAACTTACGAAAAGCTTTAAAAATCATCGTCAATGTAACCTCCGTAACTAGCAAACTTTAGTTTGTCACTGAAATACATGGAGATAACGAACAGTATTCAAGCTCAAAAGTCCATTATACAATACAAAATAGGAGCAGAGCAAACACGGACCTCCAAACATCAGAGGTGGGATCAGGTGCCATGGAGGAGTGAGCATCCCCTGCCGACCGGTCACACCCGCCCTGTGCTCCTTGTCATGATCGGGAAATAACGGAAAAATCCGTCCACAATTCAGTGTGTAAATAATGGCCTAACAATTAGTATGAAAAACGTCAGTCAGCATTTGACTCAATGATAAATTGTATTTGCTGACAAGGTCATTGTATCGACCATAGAACTTACGAAATGATGACTTTAAACGAGACAGCTGATATTCTTGATTCATCAACTTATTTGTCAATAATTTACCTCGTTTTAGAAATTGTACATACGTAGAGCATGCTCTTGCGTATCGAATTAACTGAGAGATATATACCCCGTATGCAGGTGATGAAGGTATATTGCTGCACAAGTAAGGGAAGTTGACGATTGAAAAGTTAAAAGTCATCACGTTTATCATAAAGCTTGGTTGTTAGATTACCATTAACGTCTTTTTCAAGTAAAATATCCAAATATGAAACAGATGTGTCAGACTCTGTGGTATCTTTTATCTCAAGTTCACCAGGATATATCGTATCGACATAAGAATGAAAATAGCCATTGTTAATTGACAATACGTCGTCGATATATCTAAATGTCGAGTTGAACGCCACAGCAAGTGTTTTCTTCTTTTCACGTACGAGATTTTGGACAAATTCTGCTTCATATGAATACAATTTCTAAAATCTATTTTTGTCAAAAAGTCAAATTAAACATCCGTTTATTATGCAGGATAAAAAATAGTTAAAGGAAGAAGTAATGTACCTTATTCTGCTTTTTTAAAATGAAAAACTAGTTTTATTTCCTCATTTAGTGAAAAAACACCGAAAACACGATTTCTTTGCAGAAAGTAAGAACGATGAAAATGCTATAGCAGGAGAATTTGAGGTCACCTCCGTCACGATTAATTGTGCCTTATTTATTTTACAGATAGGTCATAAAAAGCTGTCTAATTCATTCCAAGTGAAAGCATGGTCTGATTCATGCATGTGGTGGTTTTTTTAACGTTCCGAGAAGGGCGAAAATACCCTCAAAATTCGCATTATCTGTGTCAACATAACGCCCGTCACTTTTTGATCAACTATATTTGGATGCAGTTTTCTTAAAAAATAAAAACGCAACTATCTTTTCTTTATGAATTCATGAAGGAAGGTATAAATATAGATGCTTTTAACTAGAAAAATTGTAAAAATATTGACACATTTTTTTTTCACTGTGACGGCCGTTATTATTTACAAATAGCTGATCCTTGCGCAGGACTATACGCGATTTCACGGATAATACCCGATTTCGAGTATTCTCTCCAATCTGTTATGAAGCAAAATCGGTATGTCTTACTGGATGTAAAGGGTTAAGGACTGCTTAGTACATAGTGAAAGACTAAATATGATGCAAGCAATTTGTCTCTTGTTTTTATTTTTTAACAGCAATGGTAGAAAAAAATTATTGAATGCAAACTATTAACGAAATAGCATCCTTTTGATTTTTTGCAAATTACCATAGTTATCATGGGAACAAGTTAATTCATTTAATTCCGAGGAGAATCTAAATAGAATAGGGTAGGATTTTTCACCTCAGCACAAGGTGAAATACGAACAAACTACATTTTATTAAAGCTGTTTATAGAAAGAAAACAGTAATTTTTTTTTTCTTTTCATATTTATTTATTTATTTGATAAAATACACAACTAAAGCAATGAAAAAGTATGAGCAAGTTATTATTTTGGTGATACAGTTGAAGAGTGACTCTTGGAGGAATTACATCCACAAAGATGAACTATGAAGTTGACGCTAATAGACATCACTTCAAATGCATCAAACAAACATTCAGTGATACTGACTCCGAACGCAACAAGTGAAACTGCATCAGAAGACTCTTGTTGTAGCAGCTGATACGACGTGATTAATAAAAGGGAATTTATTGTTGCATCCATTATTTTGTACACCAGTATAATAATATAATGTACAGTCTCACTCAAATGATTTTTGAACTCTTGTTCTGCACGTTCTTTTGAAAATTTATCCCATATTTCCTTCTCTATTGTCCAGTCTTTATTGATTTTCCAATATTCTTTCATTCCTATCTCAGGAATTTTAATGACTACATATATATAAATAGAAAGGCATAAAGAGTAAAAGTTAAACAGCAAGCCCACAACAATCAATGCATAATTTGTGACAGGGCCAAGGGTGAAAATATTTTCACGTTTTAGTGCAAAGAATGAAGAAAGTTCAATTGTGCCAAAAATAGCTCCAATTATGGATCGTGGGAAAAATACGTATTTAAAAACTATGTAACGGTACATATCTCGCACTCTCTTTAAAGCGTCTTCCTGATTAAAAACATTTATCTCCATTTCGGAACAGATTTTCGATATTTTGCTGATTTCCACTGTAATCCTTCCATCAAGATCCTTTAATTTCTTTTTTAAATCTTCATATGTTGCACAGTAATTACTCATTCGCTTCTCTAAATAAGCACCGAATCCACATGCACAACAGTCCTTAGAGCACATACATGTACACCACGCACAAGGAAAACTAAATAACGAACCACAAAACACGCTTGACATTCCTTTATGGTATTCAAGACCAGTTTTTGCAGGAATACAATACATTTCTATGAAAATAATTACTAAGGAAATTAAGTCACTTACGAAACAATCGCTCATTTTCTCCAACTATTTCCACAGTTTACGCTGTAAACGTACGAAAATATAACCTTGATGGAATACGTCAACCTGATTCCTCGATTATATGTTAATTCATATACAAAGCGGAATATATATATATATATATATATATATATATTATCCAAGATAATAAGAACAAGAGATAGGTTTATACTATTCAAACACATTCATTCGTTATTTAAACTTTTAACCTTTTTTAAAGTCTTTTGTCATGCATGATAAAAACATTTGTTCAATCATTTTTATGAGAACTTTGGAAAAAAAAAGATCTTCTTAATTTAAGCAATTAGGTACATATCTGAGTGATTTATATTATCCAATTAAGTATGAAATACAATGTCATCTTATCTTCAAAGACTTGGTATTTGAAAAAATAATCATTAATTTGTGTAATGCTTTAAAACTAACAATTTCATGTAATTATATTAGTCTGCTGGTACATAAATCAATGATATAATCTTTTAACATCAAACATACAGTCACGAGTATTCGATTATTATCTAGTTAAAGTTTCATGGAGGTGAACAAACTAAAAGAATCTTCAGATTATCTCCAAGGCAAATAAGGCGATTTTTTTTGTTTGATTCAAAAAAATAATCATTAGCATTTCGGTCTGATTTTGCATAATTTTGCAACTCTGCAATAGCTACGGAA